ATTATTATTATTATTATTATTATTATTATTATTATTATTATTATTATTATTATTATTATTATTATTATTATTATTATTATTATTATTATTATTATTGTATACCGTGTTGATAGAATGTTCTTTTATTAAGTTTGTGCACACACAATTGTAAATAAATAAAATAAATAATTCAAAACACACAATGTGGCAGAGGCGTTTCAGAACGTAAAGTAGTCAGGGTAGTGCACTATACAGTACATGAGGGAGGGAGCCCAGACGACCTTTGGAGATTCCTCCCTCATTTGCAGTGTTAATACCAATGCATTGTGTAACGCGTTATTTTCCTAAAGTAGCGTTTTAAGTTCTGTCACAGATTTCAGCAGTAACAGTCCTTTGTGTGTGTTGGCTGTGTGGTATTCAATATTTTGGGACAACAATTGTATGATCAGGGGTTTATTTCCTGGTAACTGTGTACTATTTAGTTATTTATTTTCTATGCCACCTTGCTCCCAGTTACAGGACCTGAGGTGGTTCACAAACTATTAAAAGACAAAACAGTTAAAACACAATACTGTACATCAGTGGTTCTTAACCTTTGTTACTCGGATGCTTTTGAACTGCAACTCCCAGAAACCCCCGTCAGGACAGCTGGTGGTGAAGGCTTCTAGGAGTTGCAGTCCAAAAGTCCTGAGTAACCCAAGGTTAAGAACCAGTACTGTACATTACTATCTTAAAAACAGATAAACATATATTATGAATAAAATACAGTGGTGCCTCGCTAGATGATGATAATCCATTCCTGTTTAGCGAAATCATCGTCTAGCGAAAAGCATTTCCCCATTGGAATGCATTGAAGCCTGTTTAATGTGTTCCAATGGGGAAGAATCGTCATTGTCTAGTGAAGATCGGCCATAGGAAAGCCGCTTTGTGAACTGCCGATCAGCTGTTTAAATCGCTGTCTTGCGAAGCTTAGGTCCCGAAAACACCTGTTTCACGAGCGCGGAGGAAGCTGTCAAAATCGTTGTCTACCAAAAATCGGTTTGCAAAGCAGGGACCAAACATTGTTCAGCGAAATTCCCCCATAGGAATCACTGTTTTGCGAATCGCTATAGCGATCACAAAAAGTCAATGTCTAGCGAAAAAACTGTCATGCAGGGTAACTGTCGAGCCAAACACGGCTGAATCTTGGAAACTGAAATTGTTTTTCACTCACCTCATTTCGGAAAGAGTCACAATAATTTCGTAGGCCCACAGCGCCACCACGTCCCTTTATATTATGAATAAAATACAGTAATTAGTTAAAACTGATTATTGTCAGTTAAAACTGATTATAAATGGATGGGACTCTGTAATTAAACTGATGTTCACTGAAAATGAACATCCAAAATGAGGCTGCAAATTAATCAGGAGGCAGGATGATACCACCGTGGAGTTACATACACCCAATGACCGCTTCTGGCCAAACATGACTAAACACGCTATCTTGGAAACTGAAATTGTCTTTCACTCACCTCATTTCGGAATCAGTCACAATAATTTTGTAAATCCAAGGACTGCTATACTTGGTATTGTTGTTCTCACAACTGGTAAAGCAAATTGTATTGTTGTAATTTTAGAAATCACTGCCATCACCTACAGCTGAACTTGACTGATGGCTTTTTTAATTAGTCTGTTTAAAAGCAATGGTTTTTAATGATTTGTATGTGACACAAGGGAAGACTAGTGGTGGGGTTTCAACACATTTGACATTTGGTTGTTGTGGGTTTTTCGGGCTCATTTGACATTTCTTGAAATATTCTGTAACTGAGCAGCAATCTTTTGAATAGATCTCACCCATTTGACAAGCGAGGGTCACACACATAGACTTTGTTTGTTTGTTGCATTTCATTCTTAGCATAAATGTTGCATCCCAAATTTTATTAATTATATACTCACCTAGTGGGTGTCTATAAAGAAAAATTGGAGAAAGAGGTTCTGTTTACTCAGGAAATAATAAAACTTCTTTCTTTTCTTGATAATATTGTAGAAGCTCATGTTAATCTTCTGACAGAACTCAATAACAATTTTAGTAACAGAAACTGCTGGACCTGCCTTTGATTTCCAAGTTCCACAAGTCCATGACATTTTGTTGCCTGAGGCAAGGGACAGGACAACTCACAAACATATTTCACGTAGATAGGCTGATTGGCTTGGTATTTGAATCTTTTCCCCCCATAGAACATCATCCACAGCATCATGAAGACAGAGGCTATTTTATGGATAAGGCAGCAAACTGCACATAATCTGTCCTCCAACACCTGGCCATTGGTCTATATTCCTCTAGCAACAACTGTCTGAGGAGGCTGCTGCACACTAATGGTAGGACCAACCTTGTTTCCAAGCTAAAAATAATCTGTGCTCTAGGTTGTCCTTCTGTACTGTTCTCAGAAGAACAGTGCTGCTATTTGATGATCTTGGGAAAATCTATTTAAACCAAAGATTTATTGTTCCTCTTTTTGCACCTATGTACAGGCACCTTAATGATATCGACCAATCTTCTTGTCAAACTCAGTTTTTACTTACTGTAATAACGGGCTTGCCACATGGAGCATTTGCTCTTGTAAAAATATTCCAGCTTACAATTATGACTGCAGTATTTTTTTTCCTGCCAAATAGTACAAAATGCAATTTGATCTGACCCAGACTTTTCCCCATCTCCTATGTGTGTGTGTGTGTTGCTTTTTAGCATTTTAATATTGTTTAAAAATGTCACTGTAGCAGGGGAAAACATTTCTAGCTTGGATGTCAAGATTACTGTAAGGGTATCCTCTTTTGTGGTTTTTGATGAATTCTTGGAGAATTCCCAGAATTGCAGCCCAAAAACCCAATCAGCTGTAGGTTTCCCCCTCTAGAAAAGGGCTTCGGGGAGTAGGGGAGTTACCAGCACCATTGACTTCTCCAGCCTTTATTAGGAAAGAAAGTTGCAGTTCAGTGCTTTGGAGCAGGAGTTGTAGTTGTTTGGGAGGTGCCCTCCTTAAAGCCAACTGGGCCGTGAGACGATGACTCCCAGGAGGCACTAGAGCACCTTTTTAAACTTTTCTCTTTTTTTAACAAATCAGCAACAGGAAGGAAAAGCTGGGGAAGCTGATAGTGCAGGTAAAAAAAACTCTGAAGCTCAGAGAATTCTGGGTGCAGGTTAAAAGCCATGAAATTTAGGGAACTGCATATTCCTAAAGCTGTTCCAAAGATATGGCACTTCAATGTGGATTCCTGGCAAACCTCAGCAACCAACCAGGAGAAACTAGGACCAAGTGGGGTGGATTTTTTGCCCAATATTTTAATCACACAAGTCATGAAATGTTGAATGAAGT